TAGGAAACGGTAGTAACAATGGGTAAAAGAAGCTAACCTCAGACAGACAAAAACAGAGGGTCTCTGTTAATGGAAAATGAGAGGAGAAAAATGGGGTAACTGGAAAATGGAGAGAGAAATTAAGAAAGGGGGCTGTTTTTGTGTGGGAGGATTTGAGCTTAGCTTGGGTTGTTTTTTTTATAGATGCAGCAGCAGCGGGACACTAACCACCGAAACAAAACCAAAGTCTTGTGCAGTGGGACCCACATCTCATACATAATCCCCAAGTGTGGGTGCCACGGTCCAAGGCTATTCACGTGGGCGCATGAGGTTGGTCCATGGGCGGTCGTGGGCTCCTGCCACGTGGACTATACAGGCACGCAAAACAAAAAACTATCACTAACTAACAGGAGATGACTAATCGATCCCAAAAGAATAATGCTCGTCGAACCTTATCTTATCGGATAAGAAATATTAAACAACTTCATTTCAGACCGTGAGAATCGATCCCAAAAGAATAATACTGCTCTCACACGGGTGAAAACATAGGCCTGAGCTCAAACCAAAAACACAGACCTACAAAACAGACCAAAACTAAACAAAACGTACATAACAAACATAACACTAAACGAAACGAAACAACACGAGCCTTTCCCAAGCAGCTAGACCAAGCAGAGCCAGCGGAACCAAGTCGACCCAAAGTGAATCCCACAGCCAAAGAGGACTAACCCCGAAATTGCCCAACACAACTCAGTGGCCTAGCAGAGTCGAAATCCAAGCCCCGGAACATTAACCAATGTCGGACTCGAACCACAACCACAATACCTAGCTGCCACTGGACCGAACCTTCTAACACCACTAGTGAGTCTGACAGTACCAGGTGAACCCCTGAAGCTCAGAGCATTAGAACAGGGGGAGAGAGCAAGAAGATGTGGAGGCCGCAGCCTCGACCCCCGAACCACTCGAAACCGCCAAGATCCCCCGCCCACCACCGTGTCATCCCGTCCAACACTACTGGCCGGAAGACAGAGCGTTGGTCCACCCTGACCCAACGCCAGAGTACAGGAGGAAAAGGACGAGAACTGCGGCGAAGCTCCGGTCGTCCGACACCAACTCCGCCAAACAACCGAGGCACCACCTACCCACCCAACGAAACGCACCCCGACCACAACCTCCACAACCCAGGAAGCCGTCGACTAGAGCTCTCGAAACGGCATCGGAGGCCGTCCTTGAGACCCTGAAGCATACCCGAGCGTAACGGTCATGGGAGACGCGATTAACCAGGCGAGGGCCGACCGCTAGCTCGAGCTCAATTGCCACTGAGGAAGGCAAACCGGCACAGATCCAAAGGTGACGGCGGACGTTGTCGAGGGAGAGAGAAAATGTGTACACAAACACCCCCTGTTTCTTTTCTCCATACAAAATAAAAATTGACTCCCTTAGTAGCAAAACAAAGATAAAATATGTCAATTTTTTGTTGAATATGAATAATAGTCATTTTTTTTCTATGTGATGATATAATTATCTTTAATATTAGAAATCGTTTCTATAAATTTGGGAATTCAAAAATGTTTTCTACAACACATCTGAAATTACAAATTTATATAATCAGTTTCTAATAGTAACGGTAATGGTGTCGTTGCACAGAAAAAATGACTATTATTTCATACTTGTACAAAAAATAGTTATATTTTATTTTTTATGAAATGATAAACTATTTCTAATATTACCACTTTTAAAATGTTCTATATCAAATGTAGTATTAGTTGTGGAAACATGTTACAATTGGTAAATTGAGTTAGGGGAATCTTTCCTACATAAATTTTTCAGTTTTAGTTGATTGAATATTTTTTAAAACCTTTTTAATTCAAAATTGAACACAAATTTAATCCAACACAACTATATTCAATATTATCAATGTAATTAAATAATATCAATCAATTATCCTCACACTACTTATCAACAATATAATTAATTAATTTCAATCAATTATCCTCCCACACTATTCATCAACTCACATATGTTTACCTACCTATTATTTTCAATAACATTTCTCCTATTTTTATATCACATAAATTTAATCATACATTTTAAATATTATTCAAACACTATTATTTCCAATAATATCTTTCCAATGTTTAAATCACATCAATTTTAACCGTTACATTTTAAATATTATATAAATACAAACTCAAAATCTCACCCAAGACACGGTTGGCTATATAAATATCCGGTTTGGCTAACTAGATAAATTTCTTACATTGCTTAACTCAAAATCTAACTCAGATTAGTCTTACCCAAATCTCTTCAATATTATTAGTTATTAATATAATTAGATATTATTTAGGAGGATTGGTTAGATTTAATCCAATCCAATTCCTGCGACAAACTATTTTTTTAACTTTATTTTTAATTATTAAATACAATAGAGCCTGCAAATAACATTATCAGTTGTTAAATGAATGACAGTTATTGGGTGTTAATTAAATGATGAATGGCAAATGACCGCATAAGTAAATGGAATTTTATGAAACTAATGGGCATATAAGAAAATGATGAAATTACTACAAAAAATTCAACATAAATATATTTCAATTGAATTCCAACGATAATTCCAATGCTATTATTTTTCTTATTTTTTGTGAAATTTTTCAATGGATTCCAACAGAAATTCTAACGAAAATATTCTATTCGAATGAGTTTTTCATCGGAATTCCCGTTGAATTTTAATGATTTCAACGACATATTTTCCAATAATTGAAATATGGGTGGAAACAAAAATTCTAACGAAAATCGCATATTCCAACGGAAATTCCTACGGTAGTAAACCGTTGAAAAAATTGTCATTGAAATCATCAAATTCTAACTAAAATTCAAATGTAAAACATATTTCAATGGAATATTTCTGTTGAAATTTCTATTAAAGTTATTCCAACAGAACTATATCATTGGAATATACTAACGTTGGATTTTTCGTTGAAATATGACATTTTTTTATATATAAATTTGAATTGCAACCACATTATGAGGTTTGGTGGAGGACCTCCATGAAAATTTCTCTTTTAATAATATGTGACCTTGCCGATTGCCGAACATGGCAATTGGATCCTAAAAGATGGAACGTAATTTGTAAAAAAGACCATCTGTACAACAGGATTTATGCGCTACCGTTTTCTCTTACTTATCTTTTTTCAATTTTTATTTTTCTTTTTTATTTAAGCAATTGCTGTTTGAAAAAAAAAAAAACCTAAAAGGTGGAACGTAATTTGTAAAAAAGACCATCTGTACAACAGGTTTTCTGCGCTACCGTTTTCTCTTACTTATCTTTTTTCAATTTTTCTTTTTCTTTTTTATTTAAGCAATTGCTGTTTGAAAAAAAAAATATGTCGCAAAACGTGCTAAAAAATAAACTGAGTCTGTTTATAACTTTATATATAATGATTAGTATACCATGAATAATGATGACAAATAAAATGTTGGGAAATAGACCGAATCCAAAGTTGAGATTATTAGTATTAGTTCAGGAAATTTGTAGTCTCGAAACCGTATCGACCCATGCTCACTCCTACGTGTGTGTTGTTTAGCCCGTTGGTTAATTGAACGTTGTATCTCTGAGTTGTTTTTCTTAGTTTGACCAAAAATAAATAAATAAAGTTAAACCCCGTTGGATGATTTTTTAATTTTTGCCCCAGAAAATAATGCACAACTTTTACATCTCTATCTTCAGTCACTCGATAGCAACAACATTCTCATAAACCTCGTGGTTGAGTAACATGGAACTCCCTTTGTGCATTACAATAAATACCATTAACATGTTGAGGATCCACAAACGCAATATTCACAAAGCATAGAAATTTTGGAACACATCTGTTTAAAGAAATAAAACTGGACATTGGAAATGTATAAAGTGAGAATTAATCCACCGTAAAAGTTTCATCAATCTTACAGACACTAATAGGAGCTTTAGCACGTCCTTAATGTTCAGACCGATCATCACCAGTCGACTCCAAGTCTCTCTTGCATTTTTCTCTCAAATCATTCAGTGGTAGTAATCTACTTTCCTGCAAAAAGCAAATGCATTATTGAAATTAGCCATAAATTTTAGGAGTAATTCAAACATCATATAGAAGTGTGCTTGGCAACCGAAAAAAAAAAATAATAATAATAATAATAATAATAATAATAATAATAATAATAATAATCCAGTTTTACATTGCCATAATAACTTAAATGACAAAAAATATGATGAAGTCAATTGTCAACATTTTTACAAATCCTAGCTTGCCTATCCTGGAAATAAATAAAATCAACAAGTGCCTAATTGCATTCCTTTCTTCCTCAAAAGAGGGCGGAAACAATTTTTATGTATTAATATCCGATTGCTTATGAATTTGAAGTCCCTAGAATATCTTATCTATTTTTAGCCAAAATTTGAATGCTGAGATGGTTCTATGCAAAGATAATATAAATACAACTTACAATGACATATAGCGTCATCTTTGCATGAAATAAAAATCAGCTCATATGAGTAATGACTTGTACCTATAAATCTCAATTATACTGACCCTTGTACATTGATACTTCTGCAACAAAGTTTACAGCCCTACTGTATCATTATATTCTGTACCTATCTAATCAGATGCTTATATATTATTACGAGAAAGGGTTATATAATTTAAGAATTAAATATAATTTCTTAGAAATATTGTAGTGCTTTTTAAGAAACCAATAAATACAAACCACCAATTACACTAGTTTCTATTAAGTTGAATGCTTTTTTTTTTTCAAATTATAGCGTCAGAAGGAAAATAGGGTACTTTTAGCAGAAGCGTTGAACAAAACCTTATATCCAGGTGCAAATGTATTCTTCAACCAACAAAAGACGCTTCGTTCAAACATCCAACGATTCAGAGTTTAAACTTTGATTAATATTTATGGAAGTAATTACTATACAAATACTTTCAGCATTTTCACCAGAAAACAGGCTCCTTCACCCTGTACACCAATTGAATATCACTTAGCAGTACATCTATTAGGCGATTGATTCATATTATATTCTTCTTAAGTTCATTAGTATGTAATATGGTCCAATATTAGGCAGCAATGCTTCAAGGCTCTTTGAAATAGCATTTTCTTCCTGAACTCACTTGAAAAAATATTTTACTTTCCTGATTCTGTAGTATGTTCTCATAAAATAAGAAGAACCCATTACAATTTGCAACACAACATATGTTTATGAAGAATGCCAGAAAACATTCTAAAAAATGCATCAGTACTTTATATAGCAAAAAAAGAAATTAATGGTAAGCAACATTTTCATATTTATAATATCTATTTGGTGATGATAATAACGTTTGCTCAGTTAACATGAAACTAACAAATTTGATGTGCCTTAAAACTGAATCAACAACAAAACAGATTAGGACCTGTAACATTTTAAGTTCTAAGCATCCTCACCTGTCCTACAATGCATTGCTCCTAGAGATGTCCAAAATCATATGCTTAACTTCAGGAAACAATTAATAAATATAAATCAGGTATGCAAAAACTTACAAGTTGATTACTTTCTTGTTCCAGTACGCCTGCCATGTGTTGAAAAAGGGACACCCACTGGCACATGAGATCAGATTCTAACCTCGAAGATCCGGTTAAGCTTTCAGCACTGTGTCTCTCTATACACTTACTCCGGATGATTCTTTCAGCCAGTATGCTTGCTTCTTTCTGGCTCTTCTTAAGAGCTGAATGATTTAAAGCAAACAATAGGCAGAAAACAGTAAGTAAGTATCAATAAAAGGAATGAACAATATTGTCTTCTGCAAATGTTTTTCACTAGTAACTCATATAACAAGTGTGAATCTTCTAACCTGGTACTCGAGCCTTGATGTCCTGGTAATTGAGGTCCAACCACATGTATCCAGCTGATTGTCAAACAAACGAACGAGCCCAATTAATACTGTCATCCTAACTAAATGATCCTAAAAATGTCAAAGGAACACAAAGCAAAATGCTCCTCACCTATTCTTTCGTTGTTTTTTTTTAAAAAAAAAAAGGGCAAAGTGCCCCCAAATGTTATGCTCAAATCTACAAACAACAATCAGAAAGCAACAAAACAATAAACGCACTGATACCTTTTTTGCAAAAAGAGCAAGAACAAGTTCTTGTTGGCTCCATCTCTTCAGACACACATTTCTCTTTCCCATTTCTCATCTCCATGAATTTTTCCATCCCAAAAACAGTAGACTCCTGGGACTCGGGTAGAATATTCACGCAATCAACCGAGCCACACTGACTCAATGCCAAATTATGTTCATCACCATCATGACAAGGTGGATGATGAAGACACTCGTTTGCATCACTCTGACTTCCTTTGGACTCATAGCCATCAAAACCACTATCTTTATCCAGACAATAGACACCAGTCTCAGTAGCTGCCTCTAAAGCATCACTCAACCCATCATCGGATTTAACACAAATATCCTCAACTACCTTAGACTCTTTTGAGCTTATATTAAGGTCATTTTTATTTCCTTCAAGATTGACGAACTCACTCTGGCCGAATTCTTGAATCTCATTCTCCTCAAAGGCAGTAGAACTCATCACTCTTTCCTCTTTCAGATCAGTCAAGTTTGGGCTATCAAAATTTTCAGCAGCCTTGAGATTCACATTTGGAAAAGCATCGTTGTTGACGTCAGAATTGAGATTGTTTGAGATATTGCAAACGGTTTGACACAGCAATTGATTCGTGTTGGCACTCGTGGCTTTGTTGGTTGAATTTGGGATGCTAGATAAAATATTGGCTTTCGGTGAATGAATCTCAGATTGAGCAGGAGGCATAACACGGATCCTTTTGGCTGAATCTTTGTCGATGAAATTTGAACTCTTGACCCCAATTTTTTCAGTCTCAGAAGATCCCCTTTTTCCGAGTAGATTGGTGAGATCGCCGAGGACTTGCCTCGGTTTAGCAAACCCTTCTGATGCGTTTCCCTCAGCCATCACCAGAACTCCAACTAGTCGAATTAACGCTTACTTCAGGCGAACTCAAATCACTGATTTCCCCGGCGTCGATTAATTCTCAGCATCTTGATTCACAAACACAAACTTCAAAAATGAAACCTAGCTGATTCACAAACACATGTTATATGATTAACCTATTTCGGGAAGGGGGATTCAATTGACGATTTAAATCAAACAAATAGAACATAAAAGTCATCCAAGTAATTAGGAAACCTAATCTAGAAGACGTGCATACAAGAACTGACCTTTGTGGAGAATACACGGTGCTTTCTCAGTGGAAAATGAAGATCCTGAGAAAGAGAGAGTGGAATGAATGGTGGCAGATTAAAGAGAGGAGCGGGAAATTAAAAGTAGACAAAAAATTGGTGGCGACCAAAAGGACCCCCGCCTTGTCCCGCCCTCTCTCTTTGAAATTCTAAATTTAATGCGCCAATTAGAGCGATGGAGTAGACATGGCCAGGGTCAGCCAGGAAGGAACCGTCCCGTATGTACGGGTCATTGAACCGGATTCGTGCTACAAATGGGTCGGTTCTGGGTCTTAATTCTTTTTTCTTTTACTCGTCGTGTCTAGACTGATTCTGGATTGGAAGATAGTTCTGAGTTTTCGACCTTTTTTTTTTTTCTTGGCTNTTTGGGCCGTCGGATTAATCTTGAAAATTCAACGGTCAGTTTTTATTTTTTTTTAAAAAAATTATGAGCCAGGTCGAAACCCGGTTCTGGGTCAGACCTTACTAGTTCAACGGTCACATTTTTTTTCAACGGACTTATGAACCTCAGCATCAGGCGCAGGCGCAGCCAACCTCTGGCCGCGAGGACGGCCGCGGCGGTCAATCGAAAACTCTGAAATCCGACGTATTCTATCGGTATTACACGAAGCTGCCCAATCCGAAAAAAGGTGAGAATCAATTTTCTGCTGTTTGCAACTACTTTCCAGCCAACTCCAAGAAGACGTATGCTTTCAAAACAGGTGATGGGTACAGAATGTTGAACCAATATAGAAGGAATTATCATCCGACAAAAGTGGGGATTGATACGACACAAACGCAATTCCCAAGTAGTAGCGCTGCATCCGAGACGACTGGTGCAGGTACGTCTTCTTTATTTCATTACTCGATGATAATCATAGACGTCATTTAGCCGAATTTGTTTCTGTTTCATCTCTTCTTTTCGATTTTGCTGATAGTGATTTGTATGAAAATTTTTCTCAAATGGATTTGAATTCGGCTGCCCGCCGAGTTCCACGTTCTACTCTTACTCGCAATATTCAAAAAGTTGTGAGTAAGAAAACATTAATTTTGGAACAAATTTTTTAATCTTTAAACCATAGAGTATCCATCTGTTGCGATATTTGGTCCAATTATTGACAAAATGATTACTATCTAGGAATTACCTGTCATTAGATATATGATAGTTGGACTTAACAAAAACGTTTAATAGGTTATGTTGGATTTCCAGAACGACACAATTCTTACAACATCTCTTGTTTAATTTCAAAGGTCTTGAATAAATATTTAAAATTAGTAAAAAAGTGTTTTCCATTCTTTTTGATAATGTTAGTGGCAATATTGCATCTATACGTGAGGTTAAGGATATTTGTACTCCCATTTGTGGGGAAAGATTTTTTCATGTTCGTTGTATATGTCATGTCTTAAATATTTGTGTGCAAGCGGGTCATCATGCTTTAAAAGACTCAGTCACGCCAATTAGGGATGCCCTTACTTATTTACATAAACAACCCCAAGAAATAAAAGCTTGGGGAAGATTTTGCAAAGATGAAGGGCTTAAACTTAAACAATTTCAACCGGACGTTCCTACCTGTTGGAACTCAACATATAAAATGTTAAGTAACATGGTTGATTGGATGGCGCAATTGAAGCACTTTTTTGCGAGTGATCAACGTAAGGACTGTGATGTTCGAGTTACCTCGAATGATTGGGTGAACTGTAATGCACTTATTCAATTTTTAGAAACATTTTAAAATGCTACTAACATATTTTCTGATGTTTACTATCCTAATTGCACAACTTGTGTTAAGTCGATCTATAACCATATTGTGGCATTTCAAAGATATTTATTTTAATGATATTATTAAACATAGCGAATTAGTAATAGACATGTTAACAAAATGGTTAAAATATTCATTTCTGATACATTTTTAGTAGCATGTTTGTTAGATCCTTCAGTACGTGAAGCTGGCTTGATAAACCATCATACCATGTATTATGATATCATGTATCAACTCTCAATACCGCGACTGATGTTCCGACATACAGTCAAAAACCTAACCTATAGCTACTCGTCGAGCAAACAAAGAATTTATTAAAAATATGTGTTGGGAAACAACAATCGGACTTGGGGCTTCTCCGACGTCTTTTGTTGGTGGTGGCGGCGGCATGTCTTCTTATGGAGGGCAATGGGAACCGCAGCAAGCCACAAGTTTTAGTGATTGGTGGGATTCATTCAATCCTTACAAAAATGCTAGCATCCAAAGGACAAAGTAGATTGGATATTATGAGCTCAATCACTACCTTACGTTGAATTTGATACTTACAGTTGCCCGTGAACCTACTCCGCCACTCAACTTTGATGTCTTGGATTGGTGGTCAAGAATCATGAAAGGAGTTTATCCTATTCCATGCTTGATGGCCAAGGAGATTTTCTCCATCCCAGCCTCGACAGTTGCGGTCGAATAAGTATTCAATGAGGGAGGTTACATGCTAGACATACGACGGTCGAGGCTGACGCCACAAAATATGGAGCCACAAATTTTGTTGATGGATTAGAAGAAGGTTGAACGAAGGATGCAAACGGCTATGCTTACCAATGAAGAGGATGTGGACGACGACGTACCATCCAACTTTACGAGTACGACGAGTGGAACTGGGACTGCCAAAGGCGGCTACGACTATTGGAGCCAGTCGCCAAGGTAAGTAAAGTAAGAAAACTACATAGATTTTGATTTACAAGATAAGGGATATGTAGGCAACTTGATATTTATACGTTATAATATTATTTTTAATCAAAATAAATTTTACACTTACATTATTTTAACTGATTAAATGTCATTTAAGCCCAATTCCATTATTTTACCATTTTTTTAATGTCAACTAAAATTTATAATACAGTTTAATTTTCTTTTTTAATTTTCATTTATGATCTGGGTTTCCTTCACATACAGACTATTTTAGAATACACTAGCAAATAAAATCTCACTCCAATTTTTAATAATAATAATAATAATTAGTGAAGATTTCTGATAATAAACAACTACGCAAATAATAACTATTCAAGGAGCATTCAACAGTTGAATAAGACATCATTCCAATACTCAACATTTATAATGTAAACCAAATTGACATGCATTTGATCCTCTATCAAACAATAAAATTCTCTTAAGCACTTGCAATTTCTTTTCCAGATCAATACATTAATAAGAAAACATTTCCATCCTCTCCAATACTTGAAAATAGAATACTTGTGCGAAAATCGGTGACAAAGATCTAGAGAGCATAATGGTTGTTCCCGTCACGTTGCATGCGAAAAAGAAATGGCGGTGATAGAGCCGCGTGCGTCGGAGCGGACCATTTTGGGATATTTCTCCCGAATATCTGACACATGTTTTTCAAGCTCATGATTCCTTTTCGAAATGGTGGACAATTGTTATACCCGTTTCATTTGCTAAATTTCTGTTTTCATTGATGAACAACTCCACCAACTGCGGGGGAGATGTAAATGAATAGTATAGTTCAAAAGATATCTGGCCATGTTAACTTCATGCTCTCTGAACATCATTCACTTAATTGTTATAGTTCTTAGACATGACAGTAGGCATTTAGGCACTTAATTGTTGGAAGTCAGGACTGTTGACCGTCTTCTCGTGTTCAAGCTCAGCCGGGGAAAGGGTCATCAACAGTATCGTTCTACTGTATTATATAACGAAGGCAATATTGTTATATTAGTATTTCATCTACAGACAGAAAATATAAGTATAACGAAGGTACCATCATTCTAATATATTATATAATAAAGACAATTGTTATAGTAGTAATTCATCTAAAGTACTGAAAGGATAACTATAACAAGTGCACTATCGTTTTAACTTATTATATAACGAAGGTAGTATCGTTATAGTAGTAGTAACTTGTTCTAATGTAATATATAACGAAGGTAGTATCGTTCTACTAGTCGTAGGCGTGACCGCTCGTGGGCCTCTGGACGCAGTAATTCACGAGGAACCCTCACGGGTGCGACAGTTAATGATACTACATTCGTTATAGCTATAAATATAAACATTCCCAACTAATCGTCAGATAACAAAACTACCTTCGTTATGTAAAATCACATGCAACTATCATATGGAANAACGAATGTACTTTCGTTATTATGCAAAATAAAATGCAACATCATCTCAAAAAATAGAAAAAAAAATAAACGTGAATGACACAAAAATATCAAAAATATAAAACAAAAATGTTTATCAAGGTAAAATCACATTTCAACCCGGACCAGCCCGACGGGTTGACCTGCAGCCGGAACCGGTCCGGGTGAGCTATTTAAACCGGGCAACAAAGGACCCGGCCAACCCGGAGAATTGACTCGGCCGGGTCAACCCAGTTGACCCGACCCCTATATATATTTTTTATTTTTAAAAAATAAAACTATGTATATTATATTTATATAGTAAATATTTATCATGAGATACATATTATTAACACTTTAATGTACAAATTTCATATACAAAATATTTAATTTTGTTATTTTTATGTATATTTAGAGCATCTCCAATGCTATGGTTTTGAAAGACAATAATTTTTAACACATGTCAATTAATGATTGTAATGTTAATCTACATAGAAATAATGTTAAAAAACTAAAAATTTGAATCAAACTAGTATCTCCAATGCATCAATTTGATAAGAATTTATTTGTATAGGTGGACCAATTAATAATTCATTAATACAAGAATAATAAAAAATTAAACCAAATATAAAGTGAATTAATGAGTCATCATGTTCAACATGGTGTTAGATATTAAAAAGTGAGTTCAACATTGTCAACATTAAATGACATCCACATCATCATGAAAGAGCTAATGACAAGATACATTGGAGAATAAATTAGTATCAAACTTTCAAAAGTTGATGATATGGATAATTTTTTGCAATGTCAAAAGTCACATTGGAGATGCTCTTATATGACAAATACTCTATATATAATATTAAAAATTTTAAAATTAATTATCCAGTCAGCAATTGACCGGGAGACCTGCTCGAGTCAATTCTGGGGCCGGGTATGAAAACTATGAATAAAATAACAAAAAACCCTACCAGCAGTTAATTTTTTATGACTTTTCACTTTTCTCTAAAATAATGGAGATAATAATTTGTTGTTCTTCCATCGTCAACACACTCTTATTGTAATATGAAATTCAAGATTTATTGTGTAATGCTTAGAGATTTTTTCTTCTTTTAAAGGACAAGAACGATGAATTATTTCTTTCGCGTGAGATTGAACTTTTAAAAATAAATAATGGAATACATTATCAGCGATATTTTAAACATTTCAATTATCATTTTTGTAATATTTTATGAAAATTAATAACCAAATAAAATCAAAGAATGGTCATTTATCCAACATAAGTTGGGGATGACTACCGTCCTGTTATAGGATAGTTCTGTCAGTGTTTTTCATGGTTAGATACACATGTAGATTGTGTAATATAAATAATTTACGATAACAAACACTGACACATCCGTAACAAGATTGTAGTGTCTTACCTAAAATAAAGAGGAGCATAGGAAGATTGGAAATGATACATCACCCCTCCGTCACTCCGCGGTTTCCCTGTTCTGCGTTTACATTTGAACTTCCAACTCTTTCCAAGAACAATTCGGAAATCATAGAGCGTCTTCTTTCACAAGCTCTTTTCGACCGAAGTATCCAAGCGGACCCGTTTTGCTGCAGTTGGATTCAGATAGAAAAGTGTCAAGGCCACTTTCTCAAGTATGTTCTCAGCAGACGTTAGTAGCCTTTTTGCAGCGGCAATTCCAATGGAGTGTGCTTTGGGGGATGGCGACCACTCATTTTCCGGTGTTCTCTAGACCAAATTCGACCAAAGTCCGGCGCTTTAGTGTCAATTGCCACTCTGTTACTCTGTCGGGCTCTGAGCATTCACCGACAGGTATTTTTGGGTTGGAATTATCCCCGATAATTGTATGTCGATCGATTGTCATGCACTGTTTTTGAAGTAATTCGGGTTATTTACCTCTTGTTGTGTTAAACATTATGTCGAGCGATCGGCCATGGAAGGTGGCAGATGCACGTCTTGTGCTTGAAGATGATTCTGTTTGGTGAGCCAAGTTATTTGGTGCCTTTGGGACCCAAGTTCGTGAAGTAGTTTTCAAAATACATCATTAACGGGGTAAATAGAGTTTACCATCTTCTCTGTGTATATCTTCTACATTTTTATTAGTATTACTATAGTTTCTTGTTATCTTAATTGCCTTGTTCATATTATGGACAATCCGTAGTCACTTTGTGCATTTCACCCCGCAATGGAGTATTTGGGAGACATTGCTTTCATTTCATATGTTTTTCGTGTGCTCATCAATGACTCAAAAAGACATTGACATAAAGACTTATTTACAAGGAAAATATGTGCATTCAGCAACAACTTAACATGAATTAACTTAGGTTGATATGATAGCAAAGTAACATGAATTGTAAACTGAGAAGAGATTGGAAGATAACTCTCAAAAGGAAAGGGGGAATATTTTCTTGGAAAATTTTGGTTTGTGAAGCAAATCTCATTTTACATTATGATCAGTTTTTCAGTGTCTTCTTGTTGACTCCAGTTTCTGTGTGATTTTGCTTCATATTTCCCATCTCTGTCATTGCAGGTATCAGGAGATCATTACTGATCCTAGTTATGCTGGCCAATTTGTTCTAATGACTAATCCACATATTGGCAACACTGACATTAATTTTGGTAGGTAGATTGCTTGTTTTCTATTTTTTTGTCAAGCTTCAGTTTGCAAAGGGATACAGATGATGAAGAATCAAGTCAATGCTTTCTAGCAGGACTCATTATCCGTAATCTGAGTATCATCAGGTAACAGCACTTTAAGTTTTTCTGGTCACGCGTGTTTCATATTAGTATTTCCTTGTATTTCTTAATCTTATATATTTCGGTTTAATATATTACAGCACCTCCAACTGGAGATGCTCTGAAGAACTTGGAGATTATTTGGCATCGAGGAACATTATGGGAATATGTAAGCTGTGAATTTTGCATCTCCATCATTCTTTTTCAAATTTTCTTTTATATCTTGTCCATAGTAAGCATTGAGTTGCATGTTTGTTGCTTCAAATTTATTTATTGGCTGCAGATGATGTAGACACTCGTGCTATCACCCGCCGTTTGAGACAAGATGGCAGCCTTATTGGTGTGTTGAGCACAGAAGACTCCAGAACAGATGAAGAACTCTTGGAAATGTCCCAAACTTGGGATATAGTTGGTAATCAATCTCTCCCCCTTCAAATTGATGTTCAAAATGATAACATATGTCTGACGAGATAAAAATAAAAATAAAAATGGATTGGATATACCCATCAATTTATTGTGCAGGCGTGGACTTGATTAGTGGTGTCTCGTGTAAGGCTTCTAATAAATGGGTTGATGCCACAAAATCAGAATGGGATTTCAACTTCAACAACAGAGGAAATGATGAGACGTTTAAAGTTAATATTACATAGACACACATTTTTCAAAATTCTTGCAGATTTTTTAAGTTTGTTTTCATTTTCGTTAGTTATAGCTACAACGAAACCCAGTTTTTCGTAAAAGTTACAAAAATAAGAGCACTTCAGGTTTGATAATGTATTACAGTGGTAGAACCTTCAAGATGAAAGTTCGGTAACCATGGATGGAACCATCCAGTTCGTAATATTCGAAATGGACGTGTTGATGAGGTCAGTGCTCAAGTAAGTGGCTCGTTCTTGGATATAATGCTTTTTTCAAAAAATTGCTAGACAAGAAAATCAAAATTTAAGCTGCTATTTTTGCTTGTGTGTTTGTCTTTGTCTGTCTCTTTAAACTTGTGTAACCTTGTTTTTAGGGTAACTACTGAAGGGCACTTGAGGTATGATTTTATGACAAAACAGTGAACTTCCAAATTTAAGCTGNTGGCGAAGTTCGTACTAAGGCTTGAATGGTTTTTTAACTTTTGTGATCATCAGTAGAGTGGTTACCTTACCTCCCTCTGCAAATTTGGAATTTAGACATGCTTATTATAGAAATTAGTTTATTGTCACACTTTTACTATGTTTAGGTGATTTTCTTTAAATTACGGAAGATCAAGGGGTGAGTCGTGGCAATTCGGAATCCATTTATTACATATAAATATATTAAAGAAAACTATATGTATTCACATTAAATGGTCACATTTTCTATACTCAATGCATTTTACTTTTCTGTTGCTTCTTTTCTCAACCATATGGAGCAAATTAGAAAGCACCGGATAAAGAATTGGTCTTTAACAACGTGACCCAATTATTTGTAAGTAGAATCTTTTGGCTCACATTTGCGTCCCTTTTCAAAAACTATATTCTCATTCACATTATACTTTATAGGCTAAGCTAGGTGTAGCCAATTTTTCCTCCACATAAGTCGCATTGCATTAATCTAATAGATAAATCATATGAACGTGGTTCAAAAACAATAATATCCTGAATATCCTGCCTATCAGCTAAGTTGGTAGGAAACATCAATTATTATCTTTGTGTTGAAAGGAATCTACTAGTATTTCACTTTCGTCCGTAACTCCGTCACGAGTATTATGGAAATCCAGTATTATTATTTGGGAGCAAAATTGAGCCATTTTTCCTTTTTTTTTTTAAAAAAAAAACAAACAATGCTATGTTGTCTAACCGTAGTAGATACACTAAATACAACAAATGCATTAGTATGAAATGAAATTTATGTATATTTGTTGGACATGTATATTTGCTTAATCATTAAGACAGCCTAACAGAATGTCTATCAAATCGAGAAAGTATTCAGATTCTTGGGTTGATGAAATGTGTTAAATCTCATACTACCTCCTATTTTTTTTAAATGTCATTTTGGCTTTATCAACTATTAACCAAAATAAATGTCGTTTTGAATCTTTTGTACATATTTTTCCATTATTACCCTCATTTAGTTAATAAATACACTACGTCTTTTCATATTCTCTTCATCTTTTTTTAAAACATTCATCTCTATATTTATTAATGAGGGTTATTATTGGCAAAAAAATTATTCTTAATTAGTGTGCAACTTCCCAAAACGACACTTATTATGAATATGAGGGAGTAATTTTGTACTACCTCTTTTTTTAATAAATGTCATTTGGTTTTTCTCAACAATTAACCAAATAAATGACGTTTTAGATCTTTTATACGTATTTTTCTATTATTATCCTTATCTAACTAATAAATACACTACGTCTTTTCATATTCACTCTTCATCTTTTCTCAAAACTCCATCTCTATCCTTATTAATGAGGATTATTACTGGCAAAAAAATATTCTTAATTAATGTGCAACTTCTCAAAATGACATTTATTAAAAAAAAAAACGAGGGAGTATATAATAAAATGTCTATTTTACATTGGTGTGGCCTATCAATATTTTCAGTTGAATCGTCTTGTTTTGAATTACAAACCGAATCAGCTTGCAAAATAATGTCGAGATTAGGATCCATGTGTTCACTCTCATGCTCTCTATCGTAATAAAGAGCTAGGAGGCTAATGGTTGTGTTAACACAGTCTACCCTTTGTTAGCTATAGAGGGGTTTGGTTGATATCATCCTTACGAATCCCACCCACATCAATTGGATGTGCGACACATACCCCGTGAGTTGTTAAAAAAAAAAACTGAAAAAATATTTTTTTTACAACACATGGAGTATGTGTCATACATTCAATGTATGTGGGTGCCACCCATAAAGGTGGCATTGACTAAACCCTATAGAGGCTAATTTGTATACGAATAGATGAATAAATGTGAAATAAAGAAAAGTAATTTTTCTTTCCTTTTTACTAGTTTCAGACAAAAAAGCAAAAATAAGAGTGGTGGAGTCTCCACAACTCCTTAAACTGGGAGACTGTAGAGGGGCCACCCAACCATCTATAGTTCCAAAATAAAGTTTTCATTGATAAGGGTGGCTGGTGAGGCCATTTAAGGCGGGCCTCCGTTACTACATCAACTTGTACCTTTTGCTACTTGGACGGGGTGTCTCAAGGGTTTGACCTTGCTCAGAATAAGACTCCAGAATGCTTCCTTCTTGCTCCGTCTTGTCCTCAATGAACACTGATATTTTTTTACCTTTCGCATAATGTCAATCGCACAATTGTCGTATATTTATCGCACAATATCTTTTACACTTTCTGAGGTGAAAAATATTAGCTTATCTACCAACGGTGTGAAAAATTTAGTATGTCTTTAGAACATAACGTAAATAGCTATTTCCTTATTATATTTTTTTATAATAAAAGAAAAAAAAAACTAAAAAAAAAAATTAATGGTCGAGTTAAATCGAGTTGGCCCGGCCAGGTCAATACCCGGCTTGACTGGATACTTTGCTACTCAGTCCAAACAACCTACCTGAACCAGTCCCGATCCTGGGTCGATCAGCCGGGCCGGTCCAAGTCTCAAAGCTCTGGTGATAAAGAGATGGGCACTACACAGGCTTTACCATTATAGATATTATTTGGTCTAACAAAAAATGCAATCAAACAGAAACAGAGGTTTAGAATATATTGATTGAATGGCAACATAAAAATGACATAAAATAAAGATTATATTTTCTAAAAAAATCCTTTGTAACCACAATTTTAATGAAATAAATCAAGTCCCACATACAGAAGTAAAATTATTTTTATTTCAAATATTCACCTAAAAAAGGTTAGGTTTTCTTAACAGCACGTTGTGTATGTTGATATCATTTCCATTTAATGCAAATGTCACTTTGGTCGGTTCACCCTCAAACTTTGGAAATCATTT